ATCAACTTTTGATCAAAAACAAATGGAACAAAATTTCATTTTCATTTATCAAACAGGTTTTGATTTTTTTTTCATGGGAACTTCAAAATAGTGTACTGATTTAATAAGGATTTTAAATCACCAAATTTCTTTTCCAACTTCGTAAAACTTATAATTTCAATTATTCAAATGATAATCTTCAAATGAGTGAAGTCGAGGTTTGAGAACATATAATTAAATGGGACTTTACTCAAAATCCAGAATTATTCATCTGAACAACAAGTTATTCAAAGAAATAAATTCTATTACCTTATTAAATTTTACGATTTAACCTCTATACATTTCCGTATAATATTTTTTTAAAGTACCGTATAGCACTGCCTAAAATACCCCGGGTATATATCAATTTCACCAACTTAAAAATTGAATTATACCCGGGGGTATCTTGTATGGAATATGGAAAAATTGGCCAGAATTAGCCGAATTCTTACTAGAATTAAGATTTTTTAACCACATATCATACCCGGGTATATTATAGTGGGGTACGCAGATAGGGGGGTCTCTTAGGCAGTGCTATACGGTATTACCCCTTGTGATAAATCAAAACATCGTATAACTAAGAACTGTTGATTCCAAAATTATTAATCTCAAAATGGATTGACAGACAGAAATGTTAACTTCTTCTTATGATTTCAAATTATTATTTGCGGGTCTCGTAATGAATTTTCAAGCGATAAATTTCATGAAATTTGGGATAATCAATATCGTTATTAAAGTAAAAGATAGTAGCGAAATTCTCAGGGGATATAATCGATATCTGATGGTAGTTAAATTTATATTCTCTTTTTAATAACGATGATAGAATTGAGAGTTATATTTTAAGTCCTATAATGAATGAATATTATGCTACATTTAATGGGATTTTTAACGGTCCATTATTTCGTACAATGATTTTACTATATTGAGGACGACCCTTACTATTAATTTTGTAGTTATTATTGTAGTAAAAAAAAAATTTCTATGAAAAATCGATAGAACAACTGAAAATAAATTTATTGTGAAAGAAGTGAAGTATTTCAAATTGTATAAGATAAAATTTTTTATTATTATATAAAGCTTTTGTACTATAAATTAATTGAATTTAGTTTTTGTTTTTTTTTTTATTGAATAAATAAATTGGTTTTGTAAAATTTAAATCTTTATCAATGGCAAAAATGATTGTTATATAATAAATACATTGACCAAAGTTGGTGATAACTTTATTAACATGTTTGATTGATTTGTTATAAAAGAATAAATATTTTATTGGTAATTTACAATTATGTGAATTGTTTGTTTGTTTTTTTTTTCTTGTATTCCAAATGTTTTAAATTGTTTTGGATGTGTAATTTCCCAAAATTTTTCTTTTATTAAGTTTCCATGAAATATTTGAAGATATATTTCTTTTTCATTAACATCATTACACTAGGTAAACACACTATTTTATTATAAGTTATAAAATTAAGTATACAAATAAAAATATTTTACATTTTCACAATAACTAAAAAAATTAATTTATAAATTTCATACAAAGAAAGATTCTAACATCATTACACTAGGTAAACATACTATTCATAAGTTATAAAATTAAGTATAATATTTTACATTTTTATAAATTTTTTAAAAATTAAATTGTAAATTTCATCCAAACCATTTCAAAGTATTTAAATAAAAATGCTTTACATTTTTACAACTTACAATTTTCAAAAATTAATTTATAAATTTCATATTCTAATAAATTTTCTTTGAGTTATCATTAGAATATATGGAATCCATTCTTCGTATTTTATAAACTAATTTCATTCATTCATCTCCAGATATGAAAGTTGTACCATATCTTCAATCCTAATTGGAATGATAATAATATGAGTAAAAATAATTCACATTAAAACAATTTGTTGTAAGGTATAATTTTTTTCAAGCTAATAAACTTACCCAATAATATTGGACAAATGTTTTTCTTTTATAATTTATTATTATTTCCTCAATCTAAAAAAAAAATTAAAAATTAAAATTAAAATTAAAATTTTATAAACATAAACTTTATTTAACAAACTTCAAAATTTACCTTAAAAAGTTTTCTTTCACTTTGATATTTCATGACTTTTTTAATATATAAACAAGAACAGTGTATGTAATTACTTAAGGTTGAGGATAACAAATAGTACATGATGATAAAATTATTTTTTTAAGGGTTGCATCATTTTTCACCATATTTATATTTAAATTCAGTATACTAATTGTTCCGAGAAAAATAAACTATTACACAATCATGCAGATGTTATCGCATATGGTGACTAAAAATGGAAGGTTTAAGAGGTTTGAAGAACCAATGGTTGAAGAGAATGATGAGGCAATTGATGGCTTTGATGATGGCATAAACTTGCAGAGGATGTGTTCCCGTAGTGTGGGACACAAAAGTCCAGATCTACAAGGATTCACGTGAGAATACGAGGGTTTACGCAGTATTTTACGGTTGATCATGTAGAAACTACTGTATGGGCTGCGCTATAAGTTATTAGAGATAGATCATATAATTAATGTATAGTTGCTACTTGCTATAGCTTATAGCTAGACCTTAGTTTAATAAAAATTATGTATAAAGACCGCATATATGATAAATTATAGGATATAGTGGATGTAGTGCTTTATTGCATAAACGCATTTTAATTATTTTTTTTGGAACTATGTACGACTTTTTTTTTTTTTTTCTTGCAACGCATTTCTTTATTAAATTTAGTACGAGTACATATATAATATTTAGAAATACTTAGAGAAGCCAACCAGATAGTTGGCAGCTCTATAGCAAAAAGACCTATCTAAATACATTACCAGGAGCACACAGTAGACATATGCACTAAAATATGCAGTTGCACGAACACACAATTAATAAATAAAAACCTCGTCTCATACCTAACGTGAAGAAATCCCCCAAAAAACCTAAAATAAACTAAAAAAAACAGCATCTCGCCCAATTTTATCCCTCCTCTTCCCCACGGTTCCCTACAAAAAACAAGTTAGTAAGTTTGTGAATTCTAAACTAATCAAAAACCCCTATGTTAAACACTAAGCTAAAAGCAATTCGACCTAATGGTACGGTTGGTTTGGGAGGGGCCGTCAGTCCAAAATCCGGTCACTCATTGTCTCATTCTGCTGCCTCGCCGCACCCCGCGTAAATTTGTTATCGGAAAATTTTTTACGTGAATCACGTGACTTCGACTGCAGGATGCAACCCATTCATTTTTGTTCTCTCCTTTCCTTCCGCCTTCTGTCTTTTCTTTCCTCTTTCTCTCAACGTCGCCTCTCTCATCGCCTGAATTCTTGCTGCAACTATTTACGGCTATTTAATATACTTTATCATATGGTTAAAGAAGAATAGATGATTGTGGTTATGCATGTTTAACAAAGTAACCGGATTATCAATGAAGTCAGGATTTAAGATATAGAATAACGAGCTTTTTTTTTCCATCATGAATCACGTGATTACATTTTTATACACATGGAACTCCAAGCGAATTAACTATTTATTATCAATTTTTAGTTTCACTATTATTTTTCTTTTTAGCAAAATATATCCACACAAGTAAACTAATGAAATTTGGGAACAATGTATTAAAATTTTTGTATTACAAATAAATAAATTTAAGTTGTCATCAATATTTGACAATGCATTTGAAGGAATAACCAAATGTTTACATAATTTACTCTATAAAAAATTTTCTGAGAAAAACTCGATAATTGATCATTTTTCTCAATATTACACATTATTTTTAATTTCCAATCAGATCCTATGATAATATGTAAACCTTTTTATTTTATTACACGGTTTATATACAAATAGAACCTTTAACTGGTTCAATCTGTTTTTTCAGTGGGTTTAGCTGTTACGATAGATGGAATGGATAACTTCGAACTGATTTGTTTTGTTAGGAATTTTGAAGAAATTTAATTGATTTTAAAAGTTTGGATTATGTGAAAAACTATCAAAGTTTTTTTTCTTTTTTTTTTTATTATTTTATTTTTTTCAATTATTTTGCTTATCATAGATCTCGTGCATCACGCTATCACACCATACTTTTTAGGTGCAACTAAATCATATAACAGCAATATACAATAGATTTTTCTCATTTAGATAATATTTTTAATATTATTTTTGGAAGTATAAATAACTAAAGATAATGATTATCAGTCTCTTACATGCCATGTAAAAGGATCACGTAGGACCACAGTCTTTTATGGTGCTCATAATCATGGCGGCCTTCAAAGATATATCTTATCTTTTTAAAAAAGAAAGAAAATGGATAATTAGCAAATGTTAAAGAGATAAAAAGATCAAAAAGAATCTACCCATGTACGGAAAGCCTACATTTCTAAGATCTGAATAGTCCCTAAAAAGTCAAATAAAGAAATTAAAAAAAAAGATAGTACGTATTGCTTTTACCGTTAAAAAAAAAAAATAAAAATAAAAATAAAAATTTGTAATACGTTCCGAGTCTACAAAGGTTGGGTTGTATATAGTGTGTCTAAATCTTTATTAGTTTTTTTTAGGTAACACGCATTTCTTTGTTAACCGTTTAAGTTAGTGCTTTAAAGCACATTTAAGAAATGCATAGAAATAAAACAAAGTTTAAATCTCCCTATTAACACAAGTACACAACACTATTGTAACAGTTGGCAATTATATTTTATAAAGCCAATCTCCGATATAAATACAAAAATTTTTTTTTTTTTAGTTTAAATACCATTTACAAATATTTTTAACCCGAAATAATTCAATTGATAAAATTTAAAATTTAAAATAGATTTTTTTTTGGTTTAAATACACGATTCCATACTTCTTATAAAATAAAGAAAGGTAAAAATTTTCATTTCTAATAACTTTATTTTACGAAAACGGTGTTTTTATATAAAGTACATAACCTAAAAGGTGGAGTTAATTATAGAAATGAGATAATTGAGAATAATTCCCATTTGAGATATCCTTAATTTACCTTTCGTAGTGCTTCCTTTACCGCTTCAAATGTGGTTTCTCCCGTATCGAAGTCATAGGATGAGTAAAATTTTGCCCTGGTGGCAGCTAAGTGGGCGTAATATACCGGAGGTACCTATTTAAATTATTTAAATATAATACGATATTTATCATTTACTGCATACAATGATAACAAATGCAATTTAAAATCTTACCAAAGATACTGCACGCGTACAACGCGCATAAGTATGACAGAGATTATAAGATAACGTTTGTAACCTAAATTATTAATTATATATTAGTTACGTATAACAATTAATTATTAAATTAGATTAAATTACTTAACCCATCTGCATCAAATCCATTTTCGTCATATAAAACTTGATAATGAGTTGGCCGAGACGTCCCCGTTATTCCAGCATGACTTAATAAATCTGGTAAGAATTTAAAGTCATTTAGAAATGCTACAAAATTTATACATCAATTTAAATTTAATTACTTACAAAAATCAAATTCAAATGGATGTGTAATGTCCGTTTCAACAACGGTACCAGGAAGACAATTTCCCGTTCTATCAGTATATTTACTTTCCATTGGGAAAAAACGTGTGTGGCGTCTCTTCTTTACCAAAACAAACGTGATAGTGGGTTCATAATTAGTCTCAAGACTTTTACACGCGCCTGTAATAATTAAATAGATTAACGAAAAGTGTGAATAAATCTAAGAATAATATGTATTAATTACCTTTAATCGCGGTTAGTTCACTCCCTAGCACATCAATATATCGACTCTTTGAAACTCCATTTCGGTAAAATAAAATTTTTTTAGGTTTTAACCTATGAGTTTGATAAAATGTTTTTAACAATTCTTTAACCATATCTTTTAAATCTTTTATTATTTCAGTATGACCGGTTTGAACCCTAAGTGATGCTACATAACGTGACGCCCTAGCATTCATAGAACCACATAAGGCAGCATAAGATGGACTTATGTAACCACCTGAAGAGATATGCGAGAAACATAAATATATTAGTAAAATAATTCATACGAAAAAAAAAAATATACAATTTACCAAGCGAAGGATGAGTAATGTCTGCGCCCATCAAAATAGTAGGTTCATCTGCCACAAATTGAATATGTTCGGGAATAAGAAATGAATTCTCTCCTCCAAGTTTAACGTTTATCTTTAGGCAAATGTTTGCAAGATATTGTTTTTTCAGGGTTTTCGCTTTTTTACTTAGGACACACTGTGTTGCGACACCAATAACTGTGTCACTAACACGTTTAATTTCGCCATACAAAACTGATCTATGTGGGAGAATACATAGAATAAGCTGAGGTTTAACTTTCGCATTATTGCCAGCCCTCAACCAGGCTTTTCTTAATGATTCTTCAGTATTTCCATTTTCGCGACATATAGGAGGAAATCTATTTAGAATATTCTATTAAAGATAAATGATTAAATAATATTAGTTAGAAACTTGAATGAATAATACTGAAATGGGTTTTAACTTACCATTCCCGTATCTTGACATGTAATAAAAAATTTTCTCAAGAATGCAATAATAATATTATCAGGTAATTCCTTTTCATTTAAAAAGGCCAAAACTGACCATGAACCAAGGGTAGCACCTGTTGCTACTCTTTTATCTCGTAAATTCCATTCTCCACCTTTCGGTTCGATACGATTCTCCTTTGATGTTTGGTGGTACTGAATTATTGGAGTGGGAAGAATCCTAGCGTTTACCTGTAAATTCGCGTTATTGATGATACATTCCTATGATGCAATAATAATATTTCAAACTTACCACAGTCATATCGTTTGATATTTCCATCCCGAATTGTTTAAGGTATTCGTTATTTTGATAATCTAATATATTGAGACTAGCCAGGATCTTATTTGCCCGAGCACTCGGAGGTTGGCAAGTAAATTTAATCATGTCAGCTGTTTGTATTTCATTCAATTTCCGTATGTGTTGTTGCCCCTATACAAAATAAATATGATAAAAAAAAATTCTTATATTATGTCACTAGATAAAAATATAATTACCGGAATTACGTCACAAACTTCTATCGGAAGATAATAATTTTTTCCTACAACAACACAAGGGAGAAATGGGTATAATAAACGTTTTTTGTATTTTTTTTGAAAATAGGTTTCCACATCGATCTTATTTCTATTAATCGTAGTGTCTGAAGCTGAACTTCGAGTTAATTTTTCAATCTTAAAATTTCGTCTATTTTCCGGTATATGATTATCACTTATCCTAAGATTTTTTATTATCTTTTCAACTTTTCGACGGTCCTTACTATCTGATAATCCTTTACGTAGATCATTGGGAGATCTAAGACCCAATATTTTTACAATCATCTGAATAAGTGGACCACCTTCATAGAAAGTGGTAGCACTTGAATCTATGTTTATCATCATTTTTCCCATTGTGGGACGTACTAATTGGTAATACCCTGGCCAAGCCTCTATACCCCCAAAGAGGGGTATAGCTCCCTGCGAAGTATAAAATAAATTACGTATAGTAGGATGGTTTGTAAAAATCTCATGACTGATAATGACGCCCATTGCCGTTATTGCTTATAACATAAATATTATTATAATCCATTATGAGATTCATTCTTATTAAAGAAATAAAGAAAAAAAAACTTACCCATTTTGCAATTCCAGGTCATCTTGCCTTTTGCGTGTAAAAATCGGAATAGGTCTTCCATGAAAAAATCTCTAGTTTTTCTTATCCTAATTGTAAATCTTCGAAATGGACGTTTACTACCCATGGGCATGTTGTCCTCCTCTAATTCTACCTAATTATGATAATTAAACTTAAATAATTTAAAAAGTCAAAAAAAAGTAAAAAATAAAATTCAAGATATTTTACGTTTTTTACATAAAAACTTCTGTCTTTAAATGGCAATGGCTTGTGTGTAAACATATTTTTTATTCCTACAAACATTTGTTATTAGTTAGTAAGTATCTATTTCCTTCTTTAAATACAAGCATATATTTAAACATCATATAGCATTAATAATTTTAAAAAAAGAATTACATAACACAATTTTGGTATCTCTCTATATTATAAAATTACATTCGTTTTATTCGTTTTGCATTATTCAATATTTGGACATTTGTAACGAAAAATATATATCTTTTTTTTTTCAAATATGTACCATCGAATACTGGTTTTACGCCCCCAAGGTCTACTTGGTTTTCCTCTGAAAAATGGTTAAATACTTTCCTATTAATATTTAATCGCGGAGGGACCTCAGGAAATATCGTTACATCATAATGTGTAATTTTCATTTTCGGTATCTTATTAGTAACTTCAAAGAAGTTTGTTTGAATTTTTATCGGTACTCCTTTATTACCGAAACCTGGTCTTTTCATAATTTGAAAAGTTTCTTTTGACATTATAAAATTAACGAAGAGAATAATGATAATAAAAAAAAAAATATTTTTTATTTTTTTTTTTGTGACTTGAGATAAAGGAAAATATTTTTTTTATTGGTAGGAAAATATTAAGATATAAATTTTTTTTTTTTTAATAATTGTGTACGGCAAATAAAGTTTGGGGTTGGTTAGGTATATCTGATCATTAACCTAAAAAAAATATTTTAAATGTTGAATGAGACCAATCGAGTATATGGCCGCCGCTATTACAGCGGGTGCTTGTGGCAGGTACCTGTAGTTTTCACAGCAGATACCTACTGGATTCACGGAAGATATGAGGCGCCGTAGGCACAGAAAAGTTTCATCATGTGCATGTGCATGAACATGATCATGATCAACTTTAGGCATGATCTTTGGGCATGATCATGATGAACTTTTAGCATGAGCAGGTACCTGCTACAATAGCGGCGGACTTTTGACCTGAACGGCTTGACATACGGATAGTCAGATACAGATCACAGATATTGTTCATAATTAAAATTTGAAATGATGGGTATATGAAAAGATTAATGGGTAAGATACCATTGATTTTTCAGATTTAATAAATTTAGTAATCTAGAAAGTATTGATAAAATATTTAAAAAGCTAATTGGGAGAATCGAAAATTTATAAAATTTGTTGCAAGGTATGAATTATATTAATTTTAATTATTAAAAAATTAAATTATTTTTTTTCTTTGATTTATCTAAGTTAATATTTATTATTGTTCAATCATTAAGCATACGCGCAACATCTTAGTTATTATAGTACTTAAGAATACTCAAACAAGGTTACATCTGAAAAAATAGTTTATGGTATCTTTGCAATCCAAGTTATGAGCGAAATATGAAATCTGATATTTATAGCTTAGTGTTCTTTTATGGGAGTTATCAAGCGGACATATGCAAAAGGCATTTGATTTAGATCATATAAAAAAATGGAACCAGTTCTTCAGAATATCTACAACTTTATCCAAGTTGGAGGCCTGTAAATAAATGAAGTTTACGAGACGTTATCTCAATTGAAACTACAGTCCGAAATAGACAGTTCACATACTGCGAAATTACCTTGGAAATACTTAAGACTTCGCCGCAAGAAATAATTATCTCACCGACAGACGTTTCGTCAACAATCATCTCACCGACAAGGGAATTTAGATTAAAGTTAGGGTTAGGTAAGAAAATTAGAGTTAGGATTAGGCTAGGTAAAGGATTAGGGTTAGGATAAGGGGAAGTGGATTAGAAATTTAGGATTTCAAAACTGTCGGTGAAATGATCCAGACCCATTATTTGCTACAGCAATTGGTACTCTTCGAAGCATGTACATGATAGTTCAAAACTTCAAACATATTTGAATTTGTTGGTATAATGGTTTCAAAAATTATGTATACATTATTGGTATTTTTCTATGAGAGATTTCAATCTTTTATTGTAGGAGTATATAATATTATTTTACTCATATTCCTATCCTGAAGATTACGAAAAAATTTATATTGGAATGATTTTATTAATTAGAACAAGTAGTTGGTTAATAAACGTAATTAATACAGATGGCTCACAATTAGATAATTACTTTCAGCAATTAGATTAATGGCAATATTGATTAATACGATTTGAAAGAAATTATTAATTTCATTTAGTTACTTATTAGCCTAACTCTGTAAATTGATTACGAGTTGGTAAAACCATGTATCATGAAAATTTAATTTGAAATAAATATACGATTTTACTTATCATTTATTCATAGAAAAAATAAAAATTAATAGAATACGATACAGCGAATTTAAGGAATTATAATGTAAATTAATCATATCTCTAAACTAATTAATGGCATAAGTACTATAAACTTGTAAGTTATAATATCTTTTTAGATTAAAATTTTATTTATTTTGCTTTAGGGGGAAATTTTGGTCCATCCTTAGGACCGGGACCTTTGGACCATCGAAATCTTTACCCTTGGGATCTTTTGGACCATCGAAATCTTCACCCTTTGGGCCTTTTGAGCCATCGAAATCTTTACCCTTTGGGCCTTTTGGGCCTTTTGGACCATCTAAGTCTCTACTCTTTAGACCTTTTGGACCATCGAAATCTTTACCTTTTGGGCCTTTTGGGCCATCGAAATCTTTACCCTTGGGATCTTTAAGACCATCGAAATCTTTACCTTTTGGGCCTTTTGGGCCATCGAAATCTTTACCCTTGTGATCTTTTGGACCATCGAAATCTTCACTCTTTGGGCCTTTTGGACCATCGAAATATTTACCCTTTGGACCTTTTGGGCCTTTTGGACCATCTAAGTCTCTACTCTTGAGAACTTTTGGACCATCGAAATCTTTACCTTTTGGGCCTTTTGGGCCATCAAAATCTTTACCCTTGTGATCTTTTGGACCATCGAAATCTTCACCCTTTGGGCCTTTTGGACCATCGAAATCTTCACCCTTTGGACCTTTTGGACCATCAAAATCTCCACCTTTGAGGCTATCAGGAAATTTACCAGGAGGAGGAGGAGGAATTTTTGGTTTATGTTTATCCTTATCGCCTCTTTTATTAATAACACCATTTTCTATGTTTCCAATTGGTGTGGCAATGGAACTAGTAGCGAAAAGGGCTAAATTTATAGCCAAAATTAGAGTGTAAGAGAGCTTCATTTTACGAGGTTTTGAGCGAAAATTTCTAAAGGGTATTGGGATAATATATCTCTATTTTTTTGTTTTATAGTAAGACAGTTATTATATGTAACTTTGTTTTTTTCTTTTCAAGATATTAAGCTGACTTGAAAAAAACTGAAAGAAAAGAAGCATCATATTTATATAAAAATTCATCAATATAATCTTTAATTTAAAAATAGATAAAATTTACCAAATAATTAAAACTCGTATGTTAACAAATCGGTAAAGTCCTTTGCATAATTTGAAATTTTGATTATAAATAAATATATAATTATTAGTGCATTCGAAATTAAGGTAAAAAAACCTTTCAATGATAACCAATAAATTATCTGGATATATCCTTGGCGTATGTAATGTTTTTATTTTTTTTTTTCAAGGAATTTTAATTGCTTGCGAACGAATAAAATAAAGAAAGAAAGTTTTGTTTATTCATAATTACTCAATCATATCGCGATTGTTTTTCGCGTCAAAGTAAACGCGATTCCCCTTTTTCATTTCTTTATCTCCTTATCTTTTACTTTTACATAATTCTCTCTCTTGGCTCGTGTGTGTGAAAATTTGATATCAAATCTTTCAAATCGTATATATGATATGGTTACACGCACAAAAATCCAAAAGATCTAAAAATTTATTCCGAAGCAAGTCGCACATCTGTGTTTTGCAGATCATAAAATCTTGGCCGAATTTAACAAAGATCGCAATTAGAGCCAAGTAAAAACTTAGTATTTAGCCTCAGCCAAGAACCAAGAATTTAATAGAAGTTAGAAATTCTAGTACCGTTCGAAAATATTCAGATAGAATAAAATGATAATTGATTTAGCAACTTTTGTTTTTGTGAAACTACTATTATTTTTAAATTTAATTATTAGTATTTTCTAATTATATAATATAATAAACTTTTCTACATCTTGAAGAATCACTTTCATAATTCATAATTATTCTTTATTTTTTTTAAAAAAAATTATTTTTGTTAACGTATATTACATGTAAGGAATCATATTTCGTTTTAATTTGAACCCGTATTCCACGAAATTCATTGGCCTCATAAGAAAGACAAAAAAAAAAAAAATTCCATTCGACTAGGCCGATTACATAAATACAATCTTGGATACTTTTCAATATGTAAGGGGTTTACTTAAATATTATAAAAAAGAATGGTGGGCTATGTAAAAAAACTAAAAATAAATGAAACGATCGACACATGCTCCTGCAGATGTTAAATTCAAACTTAAACATTTTTAGCTCTTAGTCGATAATTAAAATTATTTAGCATTACGTGCATTAATCGGCTAGATTGCTGATAAGATTTTTAAACATTCATCTAAATTTGGAAAACAACAATTACAAAAATAAAAAAAAATTAAAATATTCTTTTTTATTGTTACAGTATTGTTTATATTGTTACTTAGCTCTTTGGCCACTCTAATCGAATAAAATTACTAATTGTTCAATCAAATAATCTTATGATTTTTAACACAATGGCGTGATGGTGATGATTAGTAAATGTTTTTTGTTTGAATAATATTATAAATATTATAAAAAACTTGTTTCAATCATATATTATTATGATTAATTAAATAGGATAATATATTGTAATTAACGGAGTTAAAAGAAAAAAAGTTATGCAAAAATAAAATAATATGGGTGAATAATAACAAGGGTATTAAAATATCATTTATTATAATTTTAAGAAATAATTAATGTTTATTGATCGTATTTTATCAGCACTTAGTACAACTTTTGATTATAATAAAATATTGATAATTTAAATATTTCATATTTATTAACTAAAAGGGAAAGGTCGAAAAAAAAAACTCTCCTGTCGATCCCTCGACAAAAATTTTTTACGAGGAGAAAAAAGACTTGGAAGATTTTAGTATATATATAAAGTTCTCATTTTAACACGTTTCTTACGTCCAACTCGTTTGTCACTCTTTTACCTACCCGTAGATATAATCTTCACATTTTTATAAAATACGCACTTGGTTTTTTTTTGTTTCTCTCGGAATTTTTCGGCTTCGGAGGGCTCAGAAAGATTTCATCCCGTTTTCTGGTCAAAAAAAGAAAATTTTGGAGAAGAAATGAACCAATAGGGATGTTAGTAGGTGAGGTGATTTTGCAGATTATATAAGTTATTAATTGAATAAAAAGTTTATGCTCTGCATCACCTGATGATCATTTCAAGTTGGACCTTGAATATTTATTTGGGGAGAGTATTAGATATGTCAGATACGTGGACAAATGGCCAAACATCTTCTAATAATAGATAATTCAAGTTTCGAGAATTCCACTAAATTAGAGAGTGTAGGAATTTTTCAAGTTGGTAAATTTTAAATTTTTTATTAATACTATTGTCTATGTTTAGCAAATGATGTATGAAGAAGGACACGCTGCACAAAAAGTTTTGTTGCTAGGACTTCAGTTATTGCTAAATAATAGTAAATTTTTTTTTGCAAAAAAAGTGTTAATTCCTTTCTTTTTTTCTTTTTTTTTCGATATAATATTTTTTTGTTTTAGTTGTTAGAATAGTATAGATTTCATTAGATAGATAGTTAGATTAGATAAATGATTGGCATTTGTGTCTGGACAAATGTCTTAGGTGTTTCAAAATTTTCATATAATCTATATTTTAGATTTTGATTGTTAATAAAGAAACACGTTACTTATTAAAAGGGGAGAAGGTCAAAAGGATTATTGAAAAAAATGACTTACATAATTGGATTCGAAACACTGACAATAATCTGGAAATTATTAAATCTGATAATATTATTCCTTTTTATAAGATCCTTGGAGTCGAACAACAAAGATATATTGAAAGATGATAATGACAGGAATTACCGATTTGAAAGATTTAAAAAGATTTAAATAATGGTGAAAATTATCAAGTATTTGGATCGATATTTTCAAAAAACGAAAAGATTGGAAGAAATTTATGTTAATTTTGGACTACGGTGAAATTCGACAAACCGGTGTAATGCCGTAGTATATCTAGTAAATTTATTAATTGTGAGGCGCAGTATTACATTTAGTCTTAGTGTATAAAATTTTAACTTATTTTTATTTTT